GGGGGGAGGCGGGGGGTGTTGTGACAGAGTCTCACAGTCACCCTTGGGTACAGTGCTGTGTTGTTATAGCTTACAGCAAACTCAGAATCTTGGGTGTGAGCAATCCTCTTGCCTGAGCCTCCCAAGTAGCTGAGACTATAAGTATCTGTCACAACATCCAGCTACTTTCTTTACTTTTTAGTAGAGACGGGGTCTCACTCTGACTCAGGCTCGCCTTGAACTCCTGAGCCCCAGCAATCCACCAGCCTTCCACCTCCTAGACCCAAGAATGCTAAGGATTAAAGGCGTGAGCCACCACTCCTGGCCAACACTGATTTTTACCAATTTTTGATTAAAGAAATCAAAGAACTGAATAAACGGATACATCTAATGTTCAAGTAGAACAACATGTAGTATAGCTAAGATGTCAACGCTCCACAAATTGGAATGATCGAAGTGGAGTGTTCATATAACAAGACAATCAGACTGAACTAACACTAGTGCCCTGGGTTCCTACCTAATGATACTCAGAGGACAAAAAGCGACTCCATTTTGTAAAAACCTGCCACTGAGTAGCCTGTAAAAAGTTCCCACCCACAGAAAGCTCCCGGTCCCAGGAAATTCCTCGAATTCAGCTAAACCCCCCCCCCCCAACCCAGTCAATGAAACCAACCCCTGCGACGTCTAGTAACAATGTTCTCCTGCATTTTATTTCATCCCATTGAGAGGTCCTGGATGTCACCCCTGGTGATATCTTAGGTCCCAGATGACACTCCGCCATCTTGTGTCTTGTCGAGTGGGTGACTCAGTACAACACCCCCGCCTCGGCAACTCCCCGGGACTTCTCCGCCCCGTGCGTCCCTGCCCCTGGCGGGAAATCCCGGACCAATCACCTGCTCAAATACAACCTGTAATCTGCCAAACTCCCTAGCAACCAATCAAAATGTACTGTACCCAACCCCACCCCTCTTGCTTTCTGTACCCTATAAAACCTTGTTCAGAGGCAAGGATGGGGCTCTTCCTTGGCGTGTGTCTCGGACTAATGGGGGGATCGGGAAAAATCCAGGCACAACACCATAATATGCACCCCCTTTTAAAGAAAACAGACAATAGCGAGGGGCGCTCTCAGCCCAGACCTAGCTGCTGTGTCAGGTCCCGGAGAGCCCGAGCTCCAGCTTAAATAAAGACTCTTTGTTTTTGCATCATACTCAGCTCCCCCGTGGTTTTGGGGGATTTCGCGATCTGGGTATAACAATACCAGTATCAAACACAAATGTATTTTTCTGGAAATGACTACCTTAGAAGCAAAATCTAGGTCTAACCAACCATAAAAACCATTAAACTCTGGTTACATAACCAGAAAATAGCCACCTTAATATTCCAAATAATAATTGACTTTCTCACGTGCCTTTGTTGTGTCCAGATCCCGTAGTTCCCCAAGACCACCAGGAGCCAGTCCAATGCAAAAGCAGAAGGGCCTTTATTGCCGCAAGCTCCAGCTTGGACTCCCGGGGGCTTCGGCTCCGCTGCAAGGATCCTGGCCAGAAGCCGGGAGCTCTGGGACCGGGCCGTAGGTGGGGTTTGGGGGAAGATCTGAGTATGGGGCTGCACAGGATTGGGCACTAGTGACCCAGTGGTCTGTTTACAAGGTGTGTTCTGATTGGGTGGTAGGAATCATACGATTATGGGGAAATACCTGGCCGGGAAACCGAAATTTATTTCTCAAGATGGTGAGAGCTGCCTAAAATGGGGTTTGTCTGGTTCTCTCACCTTCTAAAAGCCTTTTCAAGCCCTTCTGGGAGACCCACAAATAACAAAGTATGGCTCTGATTCACTAACTGCTACTTGCCCAAATAAATGCTGTAATGTCTTCATGATATCTGCGGTTAGCTTTTAACAGGAGAAAAGAGGGACCGGAGACCCCACGGACCACGCACCAACTCGCACACCAAGTCGAGATCCTCCCCGCACAACCTGAGGGAGACGACAGGTTTCCAGCTCAGGGATGTACAGACAGGGCTCCGGGTTGCAGCCAAAGTCACCCTGCAGAGACAGGGCAGGCTGCCCGGTCCCACATGCCAACCCAGTCACACTGAGAGGGAAGAGGGGACCAAAGGCTGACCTTCGCCACTGGCTAGCGTAGAACGAGGGCCAAGGGCAGGCCCAGGTCCGCAACAGCCGCCTCTGTAGGTTTCCAACCCGCTCCTTCCCCACCCATCTCCGGTCACGCAGCCGCAACCGGCCATTTCCTGATTTCAGGCTTCCCAACATCTTCCTGACCAATATTCCAGTACCTGCTGGTCAGCTGCGGCAGAACCACCTAGACCTCTCGGCGAAGGAGCAGCAACAGTGAAAACAGTCCTCAGAAGCTATCCGCGGACTTCAGGGAAAAAGACCCACCCACATACCGGAAGCTACCCTGTCCTTCCGGGTTCGGGCGAGGGCAGACAAGCCCCACCCCAGCGGCCTCGATTGGATAGTACTCCAGGTCCCGCCCCCTCATGCTTTGAGTGACAGGAGGCCTGATGAAAGAAGTGGCTGAAGAAGGCTTTTAAAGCTCTGCACCCCACTCACTCAGTCCTTTTTTGAGACTCTGACTGTGTCGCCCTTGGTAGGGTGTGGTGACGTCACAGCTCACAGCAACCTCAAACTTCTGGACTTAAGCTATTCTCTTGCCTCAACCTCAGACTACAAGCACCGGCCACAACGCCCAGCTATGTTTTGTTGCGGTTATCACTGTTGTTTAGCTGGCCCAGGGCGGTTTCTAGCCTGTCCACCTTGGTATATTAACCTCTGTACTATGGGCACAGAGCCCTTTTTTTTCTTTTTTAAATCCACATTTATTTTAAGCAGAAGTCCAAAAAAAAATGCATCAATCCTTTATAGGCAAAAGGAGATGTATTAATAAGCAAATGCAGGCTTGGCTCCTGTGGCTCAAGTGGCTAAGGCACCAGTCACATACCCTAAGGTGGCGGGTTCAAATCTAGCCTGGGCCCGTCAAAACAACAATGACCGCTCCAACCAAGAAATAACCAGGCGTTGTGGTGGGTGCCTGTGGTCCCAGCTACTTGGGAGGCTGAGGCAGGAGACTCACTTGAGCCCGGGAGTTAGAGGTTGCTGTGAGCTGTGATGCCACAACCCTCTACCCAGGGGTATAGCTTGAGGCTCTGTCTCAAAAAAAAAAAAAAAAAAAGCAAATGCATATTGAGTACCTACCTTTACTTGGATCTGTTGGACCCAAAGCGGGGTCCAGTTGGGTTATAGAGCTACCCCCAAGAAACAGTCACCAAACTCAGTGGATGCAAAACGCAAGAGGAGTTTATTTCTGGCGTGCCAGGGTGCCTCAGCCACTCGGAAGAACGGAGAGGGACCCCGAAGGCTGTTACAGGCTGCTTTTATATCCCAGAATAAACTGCCAGAAAGGGGGAGGGGGTGGAATGCTGCTGGCAATGCTGTTGGAGAAGGGTCGTTGGTGAGGGTCTGTTGGGGAAACAGGGGAAGAGTCTGTTGGGGGAAGAGTCTGTTGAGGGAAATGGGGGAAGGGTCTGTTGGTGGGATGAGGTAGCAGGGGAGGGGTCATGTTCAAGAGGGGAAACAGGGAAGGGCCATATTCAGGGGGTCTCTTCAGATCCTAGGTTCTAACTGAAAAATAACCAATAAACATGTATTCATTTGACTAGCTTTTAAAAAATTAGCAAGTGAATAAATTAACCAGATAAATTCATACCTGCTGTGAAAATAAATGAAAGTGATATGTTAGGGTAATGGGAGATTGTGTATGGTGGCTACTTTTGGTGATCAAAATACTCTTCCTCAGGAGGTTGATACAAGATTCCACCACTTAGGGCTAGACAGGAGCCCTCCCCGCCCCCGCCCCCCCATTCCCTAGGCCAGGTGAGTTCACAGGTCAGACCTCCATTTCCAGGCACAAGCAGACTGCCTTTTTCAGGACATACCCTCTGGGCACTGATAAGATCATGAACAAAGCAACCTGTGATGGTTTTTTGGTGGTTCCACCTTGGGTAGGAGCACACACCCTAATCTCTCCTCAGGGACAAAGACTGTAAAGGCCCTGATAACCTCACCTTAGTGAAGAAAAAACTACATTCATTCATTTGTTACTGCACTCCTTAACTTTGAAAAGATGTTTTTCCATCTACCAACTGCCAGCATGTGTAATCCCCTAGACTTAAAACCCCTAGATAAAAAAGCCTATGTGGGGACTCCCTGAGTTCTTCAGTTCTTTCTCCCTTCCAGAAGCTCTGGTGCTTTTTAATTCTCCTGTATTCTTTACTAACTTCTAGTAAAAATCCTTTCTTTATCATTGATCTGTGGTCCCTGGATTCATTCTTCAAATCCCTGTGACTAAGGATCTACTAAAGAGCGAAATTCCGGTATCAAAGTGACAGTTGAATTAAGACTTGAATTAAAAGAGGTTATAGTCACACAAAGCCATAGAAGGAAAGCATTCTAGGCAGAAGGAACAACTACACACACACACCTTAAGACTGGAATAGGCTGGTTTGTCTGAGAAACAGAACAATGTGGTGACAGCATATTAAGCATGAAGGAAATAAAAAATGGAAATAAATATTCACTCCACTTAACCAAATGAAAAGGTGAGAGGGAATAACTATACTTCTCCTAAGTTACTAAGAGGAAGAATGGACTTCAGAATATTGTTTTCCCACTTACCTGAGTAACACAGATCAGGTTCACTTGAAAGCAGAGGCTGAGACAAGGAATTGACTAAAGGTAGTTTATTTTGAAGAGGATTACAGGAGAGGTTGAGGAGAATGAAATAGAGAAGGATTAAAAGATCATATAAGGGTCATTCATTATCTGGATTATTGCTGTGGGCCTAACAGTCACTCAGAGCCTCTACAGAAAAATCAGTGCCTCCTAGAATGGTTCATCTGATGGATGGAAGGCTGGATCATCATCTATTCCTAGCCTCCTTTGTATGAGAGTTGCCCTGTATTGCACTTGTCTATGGATCTAGCAGATTCTTATAGCTCTGGAAAATGTCCTGGGGCAGAATGTACATAATGCATGCATATTCTCATGTGCACTGTCAGTGCTAGGAGATTCTAAGCTCACCCACAGCTGTTTGCCCAAGCTGAACATAAAAATGGGTAGAGGCGATATAATATGAGACCCCAGAGGATCTGATATCAACCCCTCTCTGGATTTTTAAAACTTTCTCATCTGAAACCATTATTCACCCTATAACTTTTGATTGGTTTATTTGTGTCACTCCCCTTATCTGAAATTCAAATGTGAAATTCCAGGTTGGCAGAGAAGGGGAAATGTATTAATACTATTCTATAGCCAGGCATTGTGGCGGGTGCCTGTAGTCCCAGCTACTTGGGAGGCTGAGGCAGAAGAATCCCCTAAGCCTAGGAGTTGGAGGTTGCTGTGAGCTGTGACGCCACAGCACTCTACTAAGGGCAATAAAGTGAGACCCTGCCTCAAAAAAAAAAAAAAATTCCACCAAACCTAGGTTACAGCGAGATAAGGGAAGAAACAGAACAGAAATGTCTGTAATGGGCTGCCATGTGACCTGGTAAAGGTGGAGTTGCAGAGAATTTGAAGTTTCAAGTACTTGCATAAGTTTTAGGTAATTTTACTGTCTAAACTCTGAAATTGAATTTTAGTTTTGGCCTGACATTACTCTAAAGAAGATTTTAAGGATCTAGTCTGTAAGTGCTCTATTTTTGAAGCCAAGAAATGCTTCTTATCACTGTTTAAAAGATTTTTTATTTTTTATTAAAGCATAACTGTGTACATTAATGTATTTATGGAGTTCAGTATAGTGATTTGATATATAATGTTGAAATGCTTACATTGAACTGATTAAGACATCCATCACCTTGCTTACTTATTTGTTGTGGTAAGACAATTATACTTCTTTATTAATAGCTTTGAGAGGCACCATTGCATCATACACTTTTTTTTTTTTTTTTGAGACAGCATTTCACTTTATCGCCCTTGGAATAATGCCTTGGTGTCATAACTCAACAGCAACCTCAAACTATTGGGTTCAAGCCATCCTCTCGCCTCACCCTCCCAAGTAGAGGGGACTACAGGTACCTGGGACACCACCATCTATCAGTCCCTTTTTCTTTTTTTTTCCTGATATGCAGTCTCAGGCTGTCATCCTGTTGCCCTAGGTAGAGTGCCATAGCATCATAGCTCACAACAACCTCCAACTCTTGGGCTCAAGTGATCTTCTTGCCTCAGTTTTTCTACTTTTAGTAGAGACAGGGGTCTCGCTTTTTCCTCAGGGTAGTCTTGAAACTTTGAGCTCAGGCAATTCACCCATCAGCCTCCTAGAGTGCTAGGATTACAGACATGAGCCACTGTGCCCAGCCTATGAGTCCCTTTTTAATCAGGACTTACTTTTTGTGCTGGAATCTAACACTGCCTGAGGCATTCCTGTTCAATCTTCTATAGAGGTTTATATCCATTCATGAATAATAGAGGAATGGATACCATGCTTGTGTTAGACCTCCCCGAGGGTCGCACCCCAAAGACCACTCACTGGCCACCAGTCAATGCAAAAAGGCAAGAGGCAGGTTTATTGCTGACGCGTCAGGGTCCCTCAGCCGCAAGGGGGAAGGACCCCGGGAGGCTGTTACAGGCTGCTTTTAAGGCTGAAAACCACATGCAGGTGGGGTGGGGGGGGTGAGGGGTACTGTGGTATATGGAGGCTGTTGATTGGAAGGCTTAAAACTTGCTTTACTCTGGGCGGGCGACTTTGCCCTGGCTGAGGAATGGGGAAGTTGCTTCACAAGGGCGGGGTAGGTGGGGTAGGGAGTGTCGCCTTGGCGGGAAGCCAAAGACTTTCTGTGGGTGGTTGTTTTTCTTGAAACTGCTAGTGCTAAGAGAAAAATGGTGACCTGCTGGTCAGGTTTCAGAGGGTCTCTCACTTGCAAAGGACAGTTACTGATTCTTATCACATTAAAAGGAAACACTGAGAACAGTCTCCTGGCAAGCCTAGAGCTGTTTTCTAACTTAGGCAATTGTTGGGTCCGAGAAAGCCTCCCAAATTAACCCCAACCGACAAACTCGAGACTTGTTCCAATGTAAAGGGCATAAGATGAGATTTATTACAGACCCGGGAAGCCCGGGGGCCCCGGGCCTGGACTCTCCTGGCATGCAAGCCGAGGATGAGCCCCGAACTCGGGGTGAAGGCAGTTTTTATGGGGTACAGAAAGCAAGAGGGGTAGGGTCAGATACGAGTACACTTTTCATTGGTGGTTGGTGATTTCATTAGTAAAGGAGGAAGTAAAGGAGGATTTGCATTGGTGGCTGATGATTTCACTAGTAAAGGTGAATTTGGATTGGTACAGGTGAGGGGGTGGGGGTTCCCTTAACTGGGGG